GATTTCCATGCTCTTCGCATGGAACTTTTGAATTTCGTGAAAGTTAAGTTTTCACTACAAATTGGACGTCGGGGTGAATGCCGTGTATTGGCTGAAACCTTGGACGGATTTAAATGTCTTCTCAAGTATCTTACTGAGAAGAAGCACAAATTTTTTACTTACGACACCAAAACTGAACGTGTGTTCAAGGTTGTCATGAAAGGACTGTCCAGTGGTAAATCTCTGGATCAGATCAAAGATGAACTGGCAAAATTACTTGGAGTTGTGCCACTCCAAGTAATCAAAATGAAAATGAAATCCCGTCCTGGCGATTCGCGCAACGGGATTTCTAATGATTTTTATTTAGTTCACTTCAAGTCTAGTGAACTAAACAACCTTAAGGCCTTAGAAAAAGCTAGCCTTATGCTCCATGTCCGAGTGAAGTGGGAACACTTCAGGAAGACTGGAGGAAATTTCCAAAACCTCACTCAGTGCCGTAAGTGCCAGGGATGGGGTCACGGAACTAAAAATTGCTACATGCCAGCTAAATGCATGAATTGTGGTGATTCCTCTCACGCAAAGGACGACTGTCCTGTGAAGGAAGATCCTAAGAAATTTAAATGTTCAAATTGTGGTGAAAACCACAAATCCAATTTTTGGGAATGTAAGACTCGCAAAGCGATCCTACAATCTCGTTCTAACCGACAGGTAGGAAACGCTCCACGTTTCCGACCAGGTACAAATTCCTCTGCTGTTAACAACGGTCAGCGAGGAACAAATTCTACATTCGTACCCGTAGGTACAAATATCTCCCCTGCTTCAAATGTTTCATCTGTACCTACTCCCCTCGCTGCTAACAATGTTCAGCGAGTTAATGGAGCTACCTATGCTGCTATTGCAGCGGGTAGAAATCAAAATACTAACCAACGTTCTAACGGAAATTTTGACAATTTTGACTTAGGAAGCATTACTGCTCCTAAAATGGAATTTTTACAGAATTCATTAATTGACATGATTTCTGATATGCTTAAATCTAACTCCATGTTTGATGCTATTCAAACTGGAGTAAAATTTGCTAATAATATTGTCATGACTTTAAAATTCAGTAATGGATTTTAAAGCATTAAACATTTTAAATTGGAATGCTCGATCTCTTAAAGATAATGAAGACGAGCTATTTAATTTTTTGAGAGTTCATAACGTGCATATTGCCGTTATAACTGAAACGTTCCTTAAACCTGACCATAAGGTTAAGAAGGACGCAAATTACTTGATTTATAGAAATGATCGTCTTGATGGACCCTGTGGTGGCGTTGCCATCATTATTCATAGACGAATCAAGCATAAAATTCTTTCTTCATTTGAAACCAAAGTTTTTGAAACTTTGGGAGTTTCTGTTGAAACAAAATTTGGACAACTTACGTTTATAGCTGCCTATTTGCCATTCCAATGCGTAGGCCAGCAAAAGAATTTTCTCAAGGGTGACCTTCAGAAACTTACCCGTCATAGGTCTAAATTCTTCATTATTGGTGATTTTAATGCAAAACACCGCTCATGGAATAATGCTCAAAGCAATTCCAATGGTAATATTCTGTTTGATGATTGTTCTGCAGGTTATTACACTATTCAATATCCAAACAGCCCAACATGCTTTTCTTCTGCAAGAAATCCCTCAACTATTGATTTGGTCTTAACTGATTCATGTCATCTTTGTAGCCAATTGGTTACCCATGCTGACTTCGGTTCTGATCACCTTCCAGTAACTTTTGAAATATCCCAAGAAATAATTTCTAATCCCAACAGCTTTACTTTCAATTACCATAGGGCTGATTGGGAGCAATATCGAACATTTATGGAATATAACTTCGATCCAAACATTCCTTTGCAAACCAAAGATGAAATTAATTATGCTCTAGAATCTCTGACTACTTCTATAGTTGAAGCAAGAGCTGCCTCAGTACCAAAATGCGAGGTTAAATTCGATTCAATTATAATAGACGATGATCTTCAGCTCTTGATCCGTCTTAAAAATGTCCGTAGGAGACAATTTCAAAGAACACGCGATCCTGCCATGAAAGTTATCTGGCGGGATTTGCAAAAACAAATTAAAAAGCGATTCTCTGCCCTGAGGAACAAAACTTTTGAAAATAATGTTTCTAAATTAGACCCGAGTTCCAAACCCTTTTGGAAACTCACAAAAATTTTGAAAAAACCTCAAAAGCCAATTCCAGCGCTTAAAGAAGGTGGTAAAATTTTGATCACAAATTTGGAAAAAGCTCAGAAACTTGCTAAGCAATTCGAGAGTTCCCATAATTTCAGTTTGGGTCTTACTAGTCCTATTGAGAATCAGGTTGCTCGGGATTTTCGGAATATTTTCTCTCGGGAAAATATTTTTGTAGATTCCTGGGGGACTGATTTGGACGAAGTAAGGTCTATAACTAAAAAATTTCAAAATATGAAAGCTCCAGGTGATGATGGAATTTTCTATATCCTCATCAAAAAACTCCCAGAGAGTACCTTGTCTTTCCTGGTAAAATTATTTAACAGATGTTTCCATTTGGCATACTTTCCTGATAAATGGAAAAATGCAAAAGTTGTTCCAATTTTGAAGCCGGATAAAAATCCAGCTGAAGCTTCTAGCTACCGTCCAATAAGTTTGCTTTCTTCAATAAGTAAACTTTTTGAAAAGATAATTTAGAATAGAATGATGCTTCACATCAATACGAACTCAATTTTTGCAGATAAGCAGTTTGGATTTCGCCATGGGCATTCTACTACTCATCAACTCTTAAGAGTTACCAATTTAATTCGTTCAAACAAATCTGAAGGCCACTCAACTGGAGTTGCTCTTCTAGACATAGAAAAAGCATTCGACAGTGTTTGGCATGAAGGTTTGATAGCTAAATTGAAAAAGTTTAATTTTCCACTTTACATTATGAAATTAGTTCAAAATTATTTAACTGACAGAACTCTGCAGGTAAATTATCAAAATTCCAAATCTAATCGACTACCTGTTAGAGCAGGAGTTCCTCAGGGTAGTATTCTTGGGCCTATATTGTATAACATTTTCACTTCGGACCTCCCTGATTTGCCTCAGGGTTGCCACAAATCTTTGTTCGCTGATGACACAGGCATTTCCGCTAAAGGAAGAAGTCTTCGTGTTATTTGCAGCAGACTGCAGAAAAGTTTAGATATTTTCTCTTCTTATTTACAAAAATGGAAGATTTCTCCCAACGCTTCCAAAACTCAACTTATAATATTTCCACATAAGCCCAGGGCTTCCTTTTTGAAACCTAGTAGTAGTCACATAGTCACTATGAACGGAGTTCCAATTTCCTGGTCAAACCAAGTGAAATATCTTGGATTAATACTTGACCATAAATTAACTTTTAAAGATCACATTGAGGGCATTCAAGTCAAATGTAACAAATATATAAAATGTTTGTATCCTCTTATAAACAGGAAATCCAAACTTTGCCTGACGAATAAACTTCTAATATTTAAACAAGTTTTTAGACCGGCCATGCTTTACGCTGTGCCAATATGGTCTAGTTGTTGCACTACCAGGAAAAAAGCACTTCAAAGGATTCAGAACAAAATTCTGAAGATGATTTTGAAGTTACCTCCCTGGTACAGTACTACCGAAGTACATAGAATTTCGAATGTTGAGACTTTAGCACAAATGTCCAACAAAATAATTAATAATTTCCGGCAAAAATCGTTACAATCCTCAATTGCAACGATTAATTCCCTTTATACTTAGATAAGATTTAGTTTTAGTTATTTAGTTTTAAGCTATCAATTGTTATACTGACATGCAGGTTTAAAAAACCTGTTTAAAATACTGAATTGTCAAGACACGAACAATGTAAAACACTTAGATATATATCATAACAATTAAGGCTGGTAAGTTACTGTAGTAACTGGAGCACCTAGGTTAAAAATGAAATGTAATTTATTTTGAATTTGGAACAAATAAAGAGTTAAAAAAACAAAAAAAAAAAAAAAAAGCTGTGTGGAGCAGGTAGTTGTAAAATTGACCCACCCTAATCGACATACATATTCAGCTCATTATTTTGGGATTTTGTGTAATCTAGATGTAATTCTCTCGTTCAATTTAGGAAGCCACTTTTCGTTGTTGTTTTGTTAACCATAAGTTTATGTTTGTTAAAATCATCATTCCCTTGAACATCAACCTCTACCCCAAAAGGTAGTTTTGAAACATCGATTGCCTTTACTTCTCCCATAAACGACAACTGCTGGAGTACTAGGTGATCCTATCAGCAGTTTTTGTTTATTTTTGCATTTCTTTGCATTTCATTCACCTACACTCTTGACTGGCGTCGTCGTCGTCGTCGTCGTCGTCGTCGATCGACGTCTCCAACTCTCGATTATTATTTTCAATGGGACGTATCTGCTTTTGTAAACAAAGATTCAAACGTCAATTTGTCGAAATTCTAAGCACTCCCACGCAAACAACAACACCATCTAATTGGGAAAACATTACCCTTTCTGAAGGTGTTGTTTGCTTGCGTGGGACGAGCTTAGAGTTTCAACCAATTGACGTTTGAATCTTTGTTTACAAAAGCAGATACGTCCTTTTTGAAAAAGTATTCGAGAACAAACTGTTGTCGAGGCACCACACAGCTGAGAACCAAACCGAATACTAACAGCTGAGTGTGCGCCACAGAGAAGACATGCAAGTGTTGAGTTGCGCATTTTGCCCTGCTGTGGTGTACGAAATTCTGCGCCATGATCCATGAAAGGTATGGGATGTGTAGAGCGCGGCGGCAGCACAGTCGCACTTGGTCTTTCGTTCATATCACTAGGGCCATTGCGTGCACCCGCCGATTCACTACGATCTACGTTCGTTTGCATTGCACCGGTTTGTAAGTCGCGTTTCTGCATCGTTTTCTCTCCGCTCTCTTGCCTATTTTCGTTACATCGATCTATTTTAAGTCCGTTCCTAAGTCACCGTAACATGCTGTAATGTTCTTTTTATATCTCGTTCCCTTTCACAGATGCAGGGAACTGGAACAGGAGCTGCTTGAACTGCAGGAGTTCACCAATCTGGAAAAGAATCTGGACTTGGCCGTCATAAAGCGGAAACTGCATTCCGGTGAAGATATTCGGGGCGAACTGCGCTACAGAGAGGAACGGGACAGCTTCGAAGAAAGGTAAGTTGGGCCTCACTTTGTTTAGATATACCTGCGTGGATAATGGCTATACTAGTTATCTTTCCGGAATTGTGTGGGTGGGAAAAATATTTTACCGGTTCACGGCTATCACGCTGCTTGGGTCGTCGAGAGAGAAAAAGACCCACCAAGAAGCAGCAGCGGTAAATAAATCAGTCAGATAAGGAAACATTAGCTTGTGAGCCACTCGAGCAACAAATGCAAGGTGTAATATAATTGATTGAAATTTGATGGCAATTGTGTCGGATGTCGGAGTGGATTGAATGCGAAATTGGAGCCCCCCAGTAAGTTGGGGTGAGAGGTGCTATTAAACTATCTGTCCAATGAATGCATTGGAAATCGTTTTCTACCTACTACTGGACTGGTGGCGGCAGTGTGTGTGTGTGTGTTTGATCAGTCATTAAAGCAGTGTTAATTGATTATGAAGAAACGGTAGCTGATTGATGTGGTCGTATTTAATAGGTAGTGGGATCATGTGTGAATGGAACTCCTTTCCTCGGATGACCGTTTTGCAACCTTACACACTACTTTCAACTAGTAGTTTCATGTTACATCCGAGGTGTTGAGCAGATTTACGATGATGTTTCGAATGTAGATCATCCCATTTTCAATTCATAGTTAGAATAAGGAGCGTAAGATTGGGATATATGAAACATGAGACACGATCAAGTGGCTTCAGCGTAGGTTCTTGAAAAGCAACGAATCTTAACGACGTGCAGTAGCATTGAAAATAATCACTTAATTTCTCTTGATCATTGTTTCTGCTTCCCGAAGCATAACGGAGCAATTGTTTGCCGAGGAAATCTGGCCAGGTTTCTCGTTACTTGCCTGTTCTTTTTGTTGATCAAGATGTTGTATTCACGAGGGTTAGGCATGTAAGACTTGCTTGGAGTGATAAATATCTTGACATTTGCTATGTTTCAGTGCATTTTGTTTCAAATTTTGCCATGGTACTTACAATGCTGCTGTAGTGGAGTAGTCTGGCTGATCAACAACATTATGAAAAATGTTGCTCTTCCAACTTATCAATGTTATTTACTATTACATTGGTGGTTGAAATCTGGGTTTTGATGTTTCAATGGAAATGTCTTCTTCTTCTTCGCATTTCAAGCTTATTGCATATCGCATATTAGCTTATTGCGTGCTCTCAACTTAGTGTTCTAGATGCACTTCCACAGTTATTAATTGAGAGCTTTCGATGCCTGTACCATTTTTGCATTGGTATAATTGTGTGGCAAGTCCAATCATACTTCTATGTCCAGGGAAGTAGAGAAATTTTCCTACCCGAAAAATTCCTAGACCGGACCGGGAATCGAACCCAGCCACCTCCAGCATGGTCTTGCTTTGTAGCTGCGCCTTTACCGACTGAGCTAAGGGAGACCCCCAATGGAAATGTGTTTGATGTATTTATTAACTCTTTCAGCACCAGACCAAAATCATATTTTTTACTCTTTTTACAAGGTGTCAATTTCTTGGAAAAACCTGGTCAATCGGGGAATCTCAGGGAATTCTATTTATGACCTGGAAATTCAATCCCGTAGCATGTTGATCAACAATGTAACACTTAAGAAACGAAGAGAAATTGCTATGACCTCTTTTGTTAATGATGTAATCTCACAGCGCGTAAATTTAGAAATTAGCATGTTTTAATTGTGAAAATTCAGAATTTATTCCAAGTATCACCTCATATAACAACTTATGGAAAAAGTGGACCAATCAATAGAATGATGAATGTCTATAATAAAAACTGTGAATTTTATCTCGTGGAGCTTTGCTGTTTTACATATTTATCAATTATTAGGGAATTAGGCATAACGACATATTGAAGGATGTTTTTTAGCAATGTTATGTCACAGCCATAATATTATTGGTTTGGTTTATAAGGTTTTCCAAAATTTCTAGACATCAGATGTATGAACTCATGATTTTCGCCTTAGAGGTATGGATTCAGATCTTTATGTTTTACAGACTAACCTCGGTATTCAAAGATGTCCTAATCTTGGTACCTGTAATTTGCATGCCAAGCCTGATCGGGCATGCAAGGAGTTTGAGATAGCATAAATCCTCTATCTTCAAGTAGCTTCGTAACAGGATATGTCTCGCTCAGCCTTATACTAGAACTACTTCACTCGGAAAACTGTAGCAAAAGAATTCAATCACTTTTCTTCCAAGGACACCAAATCAAATTCTAAAAAATTACTCTGTAAGCTATCGTAATAGGAACAACAACAAAATCGCTGCTTGTCACGGGCGCGAACGGAATGCGAGTGAGAGAAAAGAATAGAGATTTTGTAATTTTTTTACACTTTACCTCATAATATGAAAGTTGTAAGCATATATTGCATATATATGTAAACAAGAGAATATAATAGTGTATGTTATATAAAGTTGATTGATTCTAAGAATCATTGCAAGTTTAAAGGTTTAAAGGATTCTTCAAGACCAAATTATGGCCTACAAAACTATGATACAATCAAAATTGTTACTTGGGATGAGTATATATGATCCCTCTGATTGAGGTCACTTTTGGCTCAATTTCAGACTCCAACCTCTCCGATTTGAATAAAACTTTGCATAATTGTTTGTTATGGTCAATTATTCATATTTAAACGAAACTTCGTTCATTTTGTGTCTCGAAAAATTCTTCAAAATGACGTATTAGAAATTGTTCAGCAAATCATAACTCGAAACAGTCACTTCCCTACGAACTGACGCCTGAGACAAAGTTGTGGGAAAAAATATTTGATTTTCTAGAAAAAATATAACACTTTGAAAAATTTCAAGCAATTTTGGGTAATCATCATCGCTCATAGTAGAGCGTTGGAGACGGTTGGTTTAGGTCCGGCATCGTTGACTCATGCCGTGGCAAAATAGCGTCATGAGCATGCGATGAGGATTACTGAGCTTCCCCTCTCTGATGAACCATTGCACGAGAGAACCAAAGTTCTAGCCTGAAGTGATAGTAGGGGAAATGTACGTAATGTCGGCCTAAGTGTCCCTAATTTGGGTCCATACATAAGTTCAGCAATCGACTAAATTTTCAATAGCAACCAGGCATATCCATTATTACCGTCCCAATGACGCGTTCATCTAGATAAAATTGATAAATAGTAGATTTTTAGTGATGGGCCCAGTCTTAGATCCATGGGCCAACAGAGCCGCGTTGTAGAACGCTTACGTGTAGGCACTGACGTTGGGTTTATCGCAAATCACTGTTATTTTATTTATTTTTACACAGATAGATTTATTTGGGTTTACACGGGAATTGTACTATTGAAATATTTCAGAAAACGCCCAACAATGCTCCTTCTATTTGCGTGACAAGCTTTCATTGTTGTTTTCATTGAAGTAGGGTTAACTACCCCATTTCCGGCCTATTAAGCACAATCCGCACTTAGTCTTTCTTAATCTACACGCTTATTCAGATCAACTCAAAATTGAGTCGAATGTGCTCATATCAGCTGCAGGTATGGCTACTCAAAAGTGAGTAGCCTTATGTTGACTCACTTTTGAGTAAACGGTGATTACACGGAGATCTGAGTTACATTTACTCACTGTCAAATGAATGAGCTTTTGAGTCAGTTTTACTCAATTTTATCAATGTGATTAAATTAGTGCAGCATGATTTTAAATACTTTCAATTAATGTTATAGAGAAAACAAAATATCTTAAGTTATTTATTTATTCATGTTATAGCATAAATGACATGTGTTCATAACAAGTATGTAATCTAGTTAATCTAGTTCAGCTTGTATTGCCTCGGCAATGAATCCGCACACGTCATTAACTGCTTTTCGACCGCTATGTTCCATGGTTTTGTAAACCAGGATGTTAAACACATCGTGCAACATCTGAATTCGGGTTGGCACCTTGATCCCAAACACACTGAAGCATTTGAGATACAGATCAAAAATGCGACGAATTGACGGATCCTTTACAATTTCCACTCCTTCGAAAGCAATTGTATACGAACCACATTTGAATCCTTCTGCCTCACAAATAATGGACGGTAGGCAATCATCTTCACCAGTACGTGCGATATTCTCTAAGATATTCTGAAAACAATATGAATGATGTTGAAAAATAACTAACTTTAAATTAAATATTACAATGTATACCGTTGACCACTGCATCAATGGGGCTGCCAGTACATGCTCAGCATTGGAAAAACCATTGCCTTGAGGTGCGTATCGGCTACCTGTTCCTTTTCGGTGCAATCTTGCGAAGATCCTCAAAATTCCTCGAAGATGAACTACAATTAAAGAACATTTTATAATCAGAACAAGTGAAACATATAGTAATATAAGAGGTCTTGACGTAGGAATCAATTAATATTGGTATATTGGTTTAAGCTCTACTGCTCCAAATCCAATTCTGTGTGCTTTTAAGATTCAAGTTGCGTATGCTATTAAAGCAGTAGAGCTAAAATCTGACACATCAACTATACTAATAAGAAATACATCGAATTCAATAACGTACTATCTTCCACTCCATTGAAAAGGTGTGAGGTGAGCAGCAGCCCTTTGGAGATCACCGGAGTGAAATCGAGATTTTGTCCTACATTAGGGTTGAGACGATAGAACGCTTGATGAATCTAAAAATTGAGAAGAAAAAGTTTTGTGATAAGTCTTGTCACTGAACTTGATTTAAAGTATACAATTACCATTTCACCTCCATAAGATCGAAGATGTGGCAGTGTTTCTAGAATTCCGATGACGCAAGTGCTTTCCTTATGGAGCAGCGCGAGGATTGGGTGGCACTCAAGCATAACTCGCTCAATTCTTACTTTGTTAGCCAGATCTGGAATAAGATCAATCACGCTTTGGGATAACTCAATGAGCGATGTTTGGATTGAACTGGCGGGCTTTCTTGTAATTGGAGGGCGAATAAATTTTTTTTTGTCTTTCGGCAACGATTTGATAACATTTCTAACTCGGTGATAGATGTATCCGGAATGTTTTCCAGTATCATAACCACTGTGC